TGAAATGTCAGGTCAAAACATGATTATTTATTTAATACAATATGGCACCAAGAAGGATGCGCCACACAATAATAATAAAACAACATAGATCAAAAGAAAAAAGAAAGAAGAGAAATATATATATAAGTAGAGAACGGATAAAGAACTTCATCTGGAAGGAAGACAGTCATGCTTAACAAGTTCAAACATTATTCGTTAACTATCATCGGGAAGGGAAGAAAGAAGGAAATTGCAACACGTGTAATAGCGCGCGATAAGTTTCCTTGATTGTTTGTTGCTTTATTCAATTCATTGTGTGAGGGCTGAGATACTGCCCGGGTGCCCAGACCGAAGCAGGTGGCTTTATTAAGGGGCCACCCCCGAGCCTTTGACTTGGAGTCTAATCCCCAAGGCAGAGGAGCAGCTTCAGGAGCTGCATTCCCATGGTTTCCGGTGACCCATATGGGTTCATACGCCATTTGATCCGATTGGATATTGGAGCTCATGTACCCCATGGTAACTGCTTTTAGTTTAACCGCTATCCAACAACCTTCCTGACATGGTAGGACCTGCAGGGTCAGAGTCCCAGTCAGTTTAGCATGTTGGGTCATTACGGCATTTAAGCCCGACCACCACGACAAGGTAGCAGTTATCGGCCGGGCAAAACATGATTGGTGCAAATACAGGTGAGATCATAGTGACAGACGAGTATTTTCCATGACTTTTATCATTATGATGCTGCTCAGGATGATAAAAATTAAACCATTTAGTCGAACTTAGTGACTAGCTTGTTACCCGAGTACAGACGTACCAATTAAGAGTCTGCGGATGTCCTCCTAGATGAAAATGCTGAACACTTTGGACAGAAATCTTAGTATGACATGTGTGGTTCACCGTTCACCGCAGGTCATGTGTATGATAACGTTGCAGAACTGGTCTCCACAAACTCCTATTTCAAAGATAGAGATGGAATTGGTTAGGTGTGTTGATCGCCCTACTCATTTGGGGACATGCATCAACTTTAATGGATTGATTGCTCACCAAATCTTAGCATAGATACAAAAGACTAGTGAGGCATTTGCTAACTTACGTCATCTCTAGAGAAGAATTGCCACTCAACAATCGATCAAATGTTGTGTGTACTATGCATCATTTTCCTCTATTCTTCTCTACAGCGACATGATCACTGAAAGTGGAAAATATGCAAAGGCTATTTGTTTTAACCACAGGTGTTTGAGTTCTGTCCCCAATATTCAGGAGTATAATATGGTCATTAATACGGAGGTTAGGCCTAGTCGATCGATGAGCTGGTAAAGCTCTATCGATTGCGATGGCTACGACAAGTATTACACACACGTCAAGTCATGGTTTTTCCCCATCAAACAATCTCAGCTGATATACGATTACTTTGCGAAAGAGTTAGGAGTGGTCGAATCACAACGTAAAGTCTTCGATTGCTAGTTTGAACCACGTAGGAGGGTGTAGACTGGCTGGTTGGGGTTCCTAAGATGCTAAAACCGATGGATTGAGACTATTGAAAACTCAGTCAGAGACATTCAACTAGTTTACTGAGGGCGGAAAACAAGTAAAATCGATCAGAGTTATCTAGTACATCTATGTAACTATGTGAATTTATGTTAGTTGACCGGATGATCTACTCATTTCACAAGCTACAGCAAACGAGACGAGATTCGCCTCACTAGTAGTAGACAGACTGCATGATATTATTTCAGACACTGATACCTCAACATACATAACTGAATTATACTGTCTGCATAGTAGAAAAATAACGGAAACACTCTCATATAATATATATATATATATATTCCCTGCACTTTATTGAATAAAAAAAGAAAACTGGCAAAACGATTAAATTGTGAATAGATTATGAGTGAATAAAATGATTAGGAATAGTCAGATTATATGAGCATAAGAATTTAGCCTAAATGTAGGATGATCGTCCCTCCACCCCCCCCTCACGAAGATGTTTAGTTTAGAGAAGAACTCAGCGATCGCAATCTATGCGATAACACACAATTACACAGGGGGGTGGGGGAACGAAATTGCTATAAGTACAAAACTTGGGCACTGTGTTAGAGCATAAGTCCATTATGGATAGACTTAATTTTGATAAATCACACAGTTAATAAAGCAGGATGATTTATCGAATTCATCAAATTTCGGTAGAACTCTTCCTCAGCTGAATACTCCACATACACGGATATGCGCATATACTTTTGAAATTACATTGGGAGATATACGACTGATAAGTAAACAAACTACATTGAATTAGTCATGCAGAAAGACAGGTGTGAATGTTTTCCAGGTCATGTTCGAATAGATAAGGGGAGAGAGAGTATGAGAGATCAAAATTAAGATAAATTGTATTACGCTTCAATTACATCACTCAGATAAACAATTAGACATTAGAGAATATAACGAGAATTGCAAACAGACTAATATAAATAGTAATAGCTACAATAACAATAATAATAATAATAATAATAGTGTTGAAGTAAGTTAAGATAATCCTACTGATAAAGGATAGTTTTAAATGAATCAAGAATAATAATAATTGTAAGAGGTAGAATAATAAGTGAAACGTATTACCATGGTAGATTCAGAGTCACGACCATCTCCTTTTGTACACAGAGACCTAGTTTATAAACTAGAATTGCGCAAGTCTCTGCAATTGCAAGCATCTTCCTGTTTCTTTGTCTTGTGACAATAGTGAGTGACTTGACAGAGTCGATATCATGTCCGTAATCCACAAGATGTTTTGTTATTGAGGATTTCGGCACTTTACACTCAGCTGTTTTCAACCATTTTGGCAAATGCTCCATCATGCGAGTAGACAATCGCCTTTCCGTATGACCTATGTATTTGCTTCCACAAACACACTCAAATTGATATACGCAGTTTGAAGTGTCGAGGATTGGCGACTGGTCTTTCCCAGTCTTACATTTCCCAATGTAATTTCAAAAGTATATATATATCCATGCATGTAGAGTATTCAGCTGACGAGTTCTACCGAAATTTGATGAATTCATTAAATCCTGCTTTATTAACTTTTGGTGTTGCTTGTCTTAAATTCGTATCGGGAAATAAATGTCTTCAAATCACACAGTGTTGTACAGTAATATTAACTGAGTTAATATTACTTTACAACACTGTGTGATTTATCAAAATAAAATCTTATCCATAAGGGAAACAAAATTATAGTTCTAAAAAGTAATGCAAGTAGGTGGAGGGAGAGGTAGATAGATTACTGAGCCTTTGTTAATCAAATTTACACATAATATGGGCACTAGGAGAGACGTGACGACAAATATAGAAAATATTACTACCGAAACAATCAAAGGTTAAGAAATAATGGAAGTTTAAAAACGAAGTTTGTAAATTACGTGAGTGAGTGAGTGCCTTGATATGATCGTGTATTTAGTGGCTGGCTCATAGGTGGTGATTCGAATTCTGTTATAACTAAGATGCTTTAAGCTCTCATCATTAACCAGTTAAATATAAAAGAAAAGAAACAACCCCACAGACACTATCATTTTAAGCATAATGAGTCATCTCTGACTTAGTAGACGTGATATCCGACTGACGGTCGACCAAAGGGCGTCTGCACTGCTCAGCAGTCCACTTCTTCCTCCTTCATGGCTGGCTGTGAATGCAACATGATCATTGAAAGTCATTGGAGACATGAAAACCCTGGCTAGCTGTCCTTCATCATAGGCGTCTGCGTTCTACATCCGTGTGAAGTGGTAGAATAAGGTGAGCAATACTGAGGTTAGGCTTCCGTCGAGTGCTAGCCAGGTAAGGAGGGGAAATCAATAGAGGATGTTGTGAAGTTACATCGATTGAGATGGTTACGACATGTGTTACGTATGCCTGTCGCCTTCTTTGACAATAGGCAATATTAACTGACATAGGACTGATCCGGTTGGAAAAGAGAAAGCTAGTGGTGGTCAAACCAAAACATGACTTCATCAGTCAATGAAATTCACAACAGTTAGTTTAAGCCAGCCACGTAGGAAGGTGTAGACTTCGTGACTGGTTGGGGTCCTCGGGATGGTAAAAACCAATGAAGGCTGGAGACAATCGGTGATATGGCTAGAAATCGTTCTCAGTGTACATCGGTGCAAATTTCTATGTTGAAACCAGTCAGTCAGTGTCACTCACTGCAAAACATACACACAGTGTTGTTAATATTTGTTTATAAAGTTATATTACTTGATAAACCCTGATAAATTATTTACTACAAACTCTTAAACCATGATGGTATGTACTTTAACTGAGTCCCACCGTCGATTTTTAACTGCAATCATCATCAACAACGGCGTCGGTGGCACAGAGGTAGAATGCTCGCCAACTACGCCTCATCTGGTCCGGGGTTTGATCCTCGGCCACCGACGCACTCCTTTACCTCACTAAGCCAGTAATAAGACTGATAAAGAGGTAAGGTTGGGGGTATGAGGCTAGCAACCCAACCCCGTAAAAGTAAACACCACTGCTACCGAAACTTCAAGCCTCTAGCTTGAACCCACCCTATGTTCCACTGGGACTGTAGAGGAATAAAAAAAAAATCATCAACACGAATTATGACCGTGACTACAGAACAACGGTGGGGCAGTTTGATAACCGAATTGTTTTTATATTTGGCAGAATAACACGTGTAATTATAACAAATGCATAAACCTTGCATTGATACCTCTATTTGCCCGCGTCCTTCGCTTTATGCTTCTCATTTCTCTTCCTTTTTTGTCTTCTATAAATATTGTTTTACAAGGATCCCTCATTTCTCCTCTTCACCACTTATAATCTGTCACTCCACTATTCTATACTCTTTCAGAAGATATCACACACATACAATATATTATTTACAAGAAACTTCTTAGTAGCACTTTTAAAATAAAGAAAAACCTAACTGAATGATTTTTTTTTAAAAAAAACGTTAAATGATGGATAAATCGCTCAGAGAGTTAATAGGTAAATATATAGAAGAATTACAAAAAACTCACAGCTTTATCTATACTTTGTGCAGATGGTATATGATCCAAGTCGATGAATGGATGAGAGAAAAACTGTTCATGAGTTAATCGCTCGGAGGGTTTACGTTTCAATAAATCACGTATTAATGCAGCACATTGTTTACTGATTTCATTGGTCTGAGGCACCTACGGAAAATACGAGTAGAATACGGGAAAGAAGTGGCTTAGATATTCATTACTTTTAATAAAAATAACAAACAGTAGATTGCTGAAACATTGTCAAACATAGGCACAATTTCACATTGTTTGTAGGGACTTAATTGATTTAAGATTTGACCATGGATTGGTATTAGCTAGAGTGCACTGGACACAGCTGTTCCGTCCTTGTTTGGAACACTTCAGCACTATCACCCCTATGACCTAACCAGGGATCGTACCTAGGACCTTCAGGTCACGAGAAGAGCTCGTTCACAATTCATTCAGCCACTCGGATGGAATCCTGTGACCCATAAATTCTAAATTCTATTGATTTATGATTATCAATGCCACCTCCAACCAATGTCATCGGCGAATATTTGACCTCACACTCTACTTGGTGTACCCCACACTGGGCAACAGCACAAAAAAGGTACCACGATTAAATGATCCTGAATTAACCACTCATATTCTCTTAGGTGAAATATAGTAGTTTATTAAAGAAAGTATATTTGCAGCATGAGATTTTTTTTCTCGGATTTTTGGACGTCTTAGTCAAGCGAACAACCCGACAGGGGAATTAGAAACTCATGTTTATAGAAAATTAACTCACACGGATCAAATACTCACTCAATCACAACAGCAACAGTCCAATAACACACAAAAGGAATTGTATACAAACACTATTCAAGAGGGCCAGCCAGGACTCATTGCAGCACTCCCGTCTTAAGGAAAATTGAAGAAAGATATATCATGGACGTTTTCCAAAAGAATGGATATCCACGAAATTTCATCAAAAGACATATACCCCATAAGTCAACCTATCAAGTCAAAGCCCCTCAAGGAGAGCACAAAGAGAATCGCCCTACCATGTATAAAGGACATCTCAGAAATCACTGCAAGACTCTTCAAACCTTTAGGAATTGACGTCGTACACAAACCAACAAAATCACTTCACTCAGTTCTATGTCAACCAAAAGACTCAACAATAAAAGAAGATAAAACCAACATCACCTACAAAATGAATTGTAACGACTGCGAAAAACACTACATTGGCCGAAGTGGACGGCCCCTTCATCTTCGTATCCACGAACATAAGCTAGCCATCAAAAGACATGACATCCACTCCCTCATATCGCCTCACTGCATACAGACAACCACGGACATCAATTCGATTGGGACAACGTTCAAATATTAGACAGAGAAAACACCAAGAATGCTAGAGAATTTTTAGAAGCCTGGTATTCCAACGAATCGTCAGCCATAGACAAAGTTTACCAATCGATAAGAAAGAAATCCCATACACAAAGGGTCAAACTTCAGGTCAAGGAAACAATCAACACCAATACCAATACAGGTAGCCTACAGGGTGTGAAAACACAAAAACAAGCCATCACATTCAAGGTCACCAGGAGAGATGACTAATAAACTCGTGGAGAAATCTAAAAGCTCACTTCAAGAAATTGTAGTATGCGCTGAAGATGTTGCCTAGTAGGGAAATTATGAAAGCTTCGCAAATGAACCATCCAGCTTAGAGAGAACACAACTACATCAAAATCATCCACCTGAGCTACAAATCTTCTCCGTCATATCTATAGTATCTATTCCTTACACTCGCCCCCTCTCACTGGAGCTTCAGGCAACTTATTTGGACACTAATGACTATTAGATCAATTAACAACTGTTACTTGGTGGGGATTAGATTGGTCTCCATTTTGATCATAGATCGGTGTCAGTTAGCGAAACAACGGCATTGATGAAGAGTTCCAAACTATGAAGAAACAGCTGTTCAGTATTTCCTGGTTTTCAGTGTTTCTTTAACTGAAATCGATCCGTGATCAAACATGTAAAGAATAACGAAATGACTAAAAGGCAATTTCATAAGATGCATTTACAAGTTAGTCCACCCAACCTGTATTTCTTTTGAGATTAAAGCAAACAAAAAATTTACTGTGTGATCACAGATAATATCTATTTTGAGTAATATCTGTTAACATTGCGACGTGAACTGACGCATATCAGTTCAACACAACCATACTTTATAAAACACAAAGTAATTGAGCGAAGAATATCCTTTTCGATAATTTCCTCTTCTGGCTCAATTATATATATATATATATATATATATATATAATATTCTAGAATAGTAGTCAATAATAATATTAGTGTTTTTTAAATAATGTCGATTTGTAAAGTGAGATCAATGGAATTACAGTTCATCAAAGATGCTTAAATTATAGTAATAATAAAGATATAATAGCAAATACAATATCAACTAAAATTAGGAAATTTCCACAAAAATTCATGATCATTCAAACCTAGATGGCCAAGATAAGGACAATGTCTGAACTAGCTTCTTTTGGATGCACAAGTTAGTCTTCTTAAGATGGATCCCAACAGCCACGGCAATATTGACTAATCGAACTCTTAAGGCAAAATTAAGATTTTTTGGTATGCGGTAAATGACTTTGAAAGCTGTCTGGCTAACATCAATCTTGTGTTCTGCATCCACAAGATGAGATAGAACAGCCCTACGAAGAGATTTTGTTTGTCCTTTACTTAACCCCGCAGGGAGATGTTCAGAAGAGGAAATTATCGAAAAGGATATTCTTTGCTCAATTATTTTGTTTCTTTTTATAGATGTCTGAATGAATATATTCGCTGCGATCATACCTTGTTTCACAAAACTGCTTAACATACTCCTTCAAAATTGGTCTTTAACAGTACAAACCCCGTTTTAAAGTGCCTACTTTATTGACAATACCATTTTTCTTCATTATTTTCGCATCCCAAGTAAAACATAGTGCTTTAAGCTTAAGCTTTGGTTTTTATGAGATGCTGTGGCTAGCCTCCGGCCCAACCTTCTACCTTTCCGGCTAGGCGAAGTTTAAGTGCGTCGTCTGGATATCGACCCCCGGACAACTTAAGGTGAGGTTGGAGAGCATTCTACGATTGAACAACCACCAACGCACATATTTTACACCAGCATACACTACTAAGTTATAACTTTTCTAATAAACCATATTAATCCAAATCATTTATACACAACAATACATTCTATCTAAAGCTCAAATAAAATCGAATTTACACTCTTCACAAAACATTAAAACAATCATGTGATAGAGATATTTGCATATTTCGCACACACACAAACATAAATTCATCCAAATAAAGAGCAGGAAAAAACTAACAAGAATTTTTTCAGAACACATGAGAATGACAGTATTCGAGTTAGAATATTTCACCCACCCACTGAGTGCACATACTGTTTACCAAGATTCTTACTTTACTTGTAGTCAATTCCTGTGCAAATCAAAAATAGATAAGTCGGATTCACACCACTTTTACAGTTCGGTTGGATGTCTCAACCCATAGGGCTGAAATACCTCTACTTTAAAGCCTATTGCTAAAAGAGTTCACTATAAATATCGGTCTTCATTGTTTTCTATAATAAAAACCTTAACAATTAAGGTTACCTAACATAAACAAACAGAGATGAATACTTCAATGCAGATTTTGTCACGAACCGACATCAGATAGAGAGATCCCTGAAAACCAGGAAGTATTGGATGATAGCTGTTTCATACTAGTTTGAGACTACTGCTCAGCAGTGCATACCCAAGACACAAAACAAGGGATCGAACCTGGGTTATCATTCAGGTTATCATTCTCCAGCTCATTGATGGTCACTGGATCTGTGTGCTGAGGCTCTACTAGGAAACTGTGACCAGTGGGATCCACCATGTCAAGATGAAGTAGGTGTTCAAGTGTCTGAATGATCTATGAGCGTGGTCTCGTGACATGAAGGTCCAAGTTTCCGTCCCTGGTTGCATCTTGGGTATTCGCTGATGAGGAGTCTCAAACTAGAATGAAACAGCTGAGACCTGGTGACCATTGAGAGTGGACGACATGAATAGATTAGCTGTCTTTGATCATAGGTGCCTACGTTCTATCTCCCGTATGAAGTGGTACAATAAGGTGAGCAATATTGAGGTTAGGCACCGGTCAAGTGCCAGCTAGGTTACGAGGGGAAATCAATCGACGAGGCTGTGAAATTACATCGACTGAGATGGTTACGACATGTGTTACGTATGACTAGCCTAGTCATCGCCTTCCTCAACAACAAGCTATGTTAGCTGACATAGGGTCAGGCTGGAAAAGAACCAGTGGTAGTCATAGCTTCACCAGTCAATGAAATCCACAACAGTTAGTTTAAGCCAGCCACGTAGGAAGGTGTAGACTTCCTGACTGGTTGGGGTACTCGGGACGGTAAAAACCAATGAAGGCTGGGGACAATTGGTGATAGGGCTCAAAATCGTTCTCAATGACAGCGCAGATGCATCCACTTCTTGTGACTTATGATTTCCAATGAAACTACATTGCTCTTCGTTATTACTATTCCTTTGTCTCACACCTCCGTCTACTGTCTCTATTATGCATTTCTTCTACTTTCTTCTGTTGCTTTGTGTGCTACATGGCGGGAGTGTGGCGACTTGAACTGGCGCACATATGTGCAAAGTTTTATGTCAAAAAGAGACAGACAGACAACTGCCCAGTGCTATATGGTTTCAATGATTCCTTCACAAATATTGGTCCCTGATGAAATCCACACTGAAATTAATCCAATTAATCCATGTAGCAACCACATAATCTAAAGAAAAATATGATAAATTACCTCAATAGGATCATCCTTCACTAGTAATTCTTTCAACTGCTGAACATTTGCATTACCATATGGAGGAGCACCGAACAGACACTCTATTCAGTGAGAAGAAAACAAAAAAGGTGAAAATAAACGAGGAGAAATAATTTCTGGAAATAAATAAACTTAGCAATCTCTTTCAAGTTACGGTACCAAGAGCAGTGTTAAATCCTCTAACGCGTTCCAGCCTAATCGATTTTTCATTTTTTCACTTTTATATACATCGACTCAACAAGTTAGTGTGTGATCAGATCACACTTTGGAATGTATTTCACAAATCTATCAAACAGTGAGGATTTCGATTAAGGTGGTAGAGGAGAATGTTGCGCATCCTCATCCACCATCTTCCTTAACGAGTAACGTTACCTGAAGTGGGATTACTTTGAAAAAGTTTTAAGGGTCATTTCACATGATAACATGGTACGCGTCCATGAAGTCATTAACTGTTGGCTTTATCCACGTAGGGATGCGTAGACTGTCCTGCTTGGGGATCATCGGAACGCTAATAAGCAATGGTTTGAAACTGCTGGTGACATTAAGATTTATCTAATCATCCTATCTTTTCGTCTTTTGCGGTTTCATTACACTTCTGGTAATGGACAAATTGTTTTGAAACTCCCTTCTAAACGAACTATTTATAATGTTTACATTTATTTAGACGTTTCAACTATTATATTACTGTTCCCTTGGGTTCCTAGTGGAACATAGGGCTTCAGCTGCACGTCTCCACTCGCTTCTGTCTTCTCCTGTACTTTTCACCTGCATCCATCCATGTTAGTCCATACTGTTTCAACTCCTCTTCACACGATCTCCTCCATGTCACCCTTGCACTGACGTCCCACTCGCCGCCTGCTTCCCTTTCGGCCTGGTTCCACTCGAGCGATGGCCTGACGCGCGCGCGATGTCACCCAGCGGCCTCCTCAGCCACGAGTGTCCAATCCATCCATCTCCACTTTCTCCTGCATATTTGTTGGCTGGCGATTGGCTTTTGTTTTGTTTATTCCCATAGTTTCTTGTTGGTGATTCTGTCCGGCCCGGCCATCTCATCTTCAGTATAGATCCAGCGAAGACAGTTGTTGGTTGATGAAGGTCTGCAACAGGCTGCTGGTGGAAATATTCTTTGTAACCCGCCCGCCAAGTTTCTGATCCGTATAGAAGGACTGACTGACTTGACCACGTTTGTACTGAAAATCCGACCGAATTTTGTTGTTGATGCTGGCTGAGTGACGTAGATTTCCAGATTGGTTTCAGGTTGATGATGAATGTGTTTTTCGCCTTCCCGATTCTCCATTTGACATGTATCACAAACTGTAAACTACTTTAGAACCACTTCCGGTCGGTAATAAAAATTGTTAAAATAACAAAAATTAGTCTGCATAATTTTATAAGAATCTACAATACGAGAAGCAAAGAATAAAGAAATATAATCCTACAATGGAGAAACTATCCAGGACGACAAATCCATCATGATAGCTCTAACATAATTCTTTTTCTTGGAACAAACCTACAACTAAACAAACGAACCTATTGAAAAAATAATGAATCCACTGGGAGTCTTTTTCCTCTTAAAGTATCTGGAACAGAAAGAGTCTTAGTGTTGTGTGACTGCAGACAGCCCAGGCGTCAACTGTTTGAGTCGCTTTTCGAGTTGTAACCGTATTAATATATTACCGCCAGCTACGAACAGGATGTCAGGATGAACAATCTTCGAAATCAACCTATTCTAACTCCATTCTATCTTCCCGGGCCGAAGAGGCAGTATAACTGGCATGCTGGTCATCTAAAGGAAACACCTTACTGTTATCACATCCCTATCTGCCAGAAGTACGAGTTCGCTAACATACCCTAAACATAGTATAAACGACTTATACCATGACGGTAACTGCTTTTATTTTGACCGCTATCAAGATGACCTTCCTGGCATAGTGGGACCTGACAGGAACACCAGTTCCAGCCAGTGTAGTTTGTTGGGTCGTTGCAACATCCAAGTCCGACCACCATCACCACCACGTAAGGGTAGAAGTGACTGGTCGAGATGAGAAGTTTTAACATTCCACTACACACCATTAAATGAACAGAGTTAAAAAAGAAAAACAACCATTTAGCTCACCGTATAAAATAATACCAACTGACCATAAATCACAAGATGGATGATAAACACCTTCACAGTATATTTCAGGCGCCATATACAATAGTGTACCACGTACTTCATTCATGTGAGCTGTTCCTTCAATACACTTGGCGAAACCAAAATCTTGGTTAGAGGAAATAACAAAAATTGAAAAGATAATCAATACACCAGACACATCATGAATATGACATTGTCAATTGATTAGCTAATATTTTGGAACTATCAGAATGTGTAAGCAAAATAGATAAGAGAAATAGGAACCTAAATAGTTTAACTTAATGCCAGTGGTTTTTTAACTGATATCAGCCCATGATGAAATCCTGCAACCAATCAAACTAAATCCCTACAAAAACCGATACTTGAAAACTAATCTGATGCTTACTAGCGAATGGTGCTATTCAGGCTGTTAACCTGGGGTTCCAGTGGGAAGCCATGACCAGTAGCGTACAGCAGGTTGAAGGTGAGGCAGTAACTCATCGAAGAAGACATTGCGAATTGGTCACGCTATGTCGTGAATTGGCAGAAGTTAGAATTCATGGACCATTGGATCGGGTGGGTCCCAATGGCTTAATGGTTTACACGAGCTCACCTTGTAACTAGAAGGTCCTGGGTTCGAACTTCGGCGGTGGATGTGTACTGATGGAGAGTCCCAAACTAGGACGAAACAGCTTTCCGGTACTCCCAGGTTTTCCAGTGGTTCTCTAACTGATGTCACCTCATGATGAAATCCTCCATCCAATAAAACTAATAATGCTAGTAGAATATATGGTACTACTAAATTACACAAACCAGGTTACCCCATAAGACCAATAGTAGATTTCAGAAATACCCCTACTTATGGATTATCAAAACACTTAGCTCTAATATGTCTCTAGGCTAACTAATTCATATGAAATGAAAAGGAAACTAAATACCATTCACTTAGAGAATAACGAAGAAATGGTTAGTTTTTATATAACTAGTTTTTACACTAATATACCAATCAATATGAACTTAGAATCGGTTTAAAGAGAACTAACTTCTGACCTCGAACTAAGTCATAGGACAAGGCTGCCCACTGAGAAAATTATTTCAGGAATTCAGTTATGCTTCACATCTACTGTCTTTAAATTCCAAGGAAAAATATATAGACAAACAGAAAGTGTAGCAATATCCCCTATCGTAGCGGATATATTTATGGACGGTTGGAAAAATAGTGCTCTTAATACATTTAATCCTACTCCAAATATATGGTGGAGATATGTGGATGACACTTTCACTCAGTGTTAAAAACAGAACATATCTCTAGCTTCTTGACACATATAAACTCACCAGTAGAGGGAATAAAAATTCACATTTGAATCGGAAAATGAACAAGGAGAATTAGCTGAGATGTTTGATTGTAAGATAAAACGAATAGAAGAAGGCAAACTACACACTTGTGTTTATAGAAAACCAACGCATTCCCCTAATAGATATTTAGACTTTAATTCGTCTCATCTGTTGTCTGTGAAGGTAGGCTTACTTGTTAAGTGACTAACAAACCGAGCAATAGCACTAAGTAGCACAAGAAAAGACTTAAATGACGAAACAAAACAGATAGAAGAAGCGTTGGTGTCAAATAACTAACTATCCTATAAAATTCATTAGGAAGATCAAAAAAGGTCAAAAGCAAAGTAAAAATAATGGTTAAACTAATAATGATAACATAAATAAGAGAGAATATAAGTCATCCACTGCTATACCATAAAAGGAGGGGACATCTGAGACCCTCTATACGTAGATTCTCAACAAAGCAGGAATTAGGGTGGCATTCAAAGCTACAAACTCACTCAGGGAGACAAGCTGTGTAGGCTAAAGGACCCAGTGGGTTGACCCAATTAGACAAAATAATATAATTTTCAAAATACCTTGCAATAACTGTGAGTTAAGTCAACTATATGGGTCAAACCAGTAGATCAGGAGTAGTGAGATTATCAGAACATAAGAATTTAGCTAAGATTAGAATGATTGATCTCACAAGATAAGTAATTTAGAATAAAGCTCAGCAATATCACTATATGCATTAGCACAACCACACAATAATGTGCGAGTCAAAATTCTAAAAAGTAATACAGATAGGTAGGTGGGGAGAGAGATTGATTACTGAATCCTGCTTGGTTCATCGAGTCTACACACCCAGCACATACCACAGAAATGACTCAACGCAAATACCAGAGATATTTATGGAAGATATTATTACCACCTGCAAATTAGAGAATAAATAATTCTAAAATGTATTCAATTCACATGATAACATTCTAACAAGTTACTTATTTTTACTATAAAAACACTCGTCTTATTTCCCATCTGATTGTATTTGATTGATAACACTATTATTATTATTTCCGAATGTACTTCATCTTATATTGATTTTATTCAATTGTCTAATCAATTTTACTCATGTATATTAAGCGAAGCAGGAAAGTTGCGTGAGTGCCTTGATATGATAATGAGTGGCAATAATTTGTTGCTGAAACATCATTAGTAAATATTACTGTACAACACTGTATGATTTATCAAAATAAAATCTTATCCATAATGAAGAAATAGGAACCTATCAGTGAGTAACCTTTGTTGGTTCTATAGTAGAACGCTCACCGAACACCCACATGGCTTGGGTTCGATTCCCGGTTGACGCCCTGCTAAACCTCGTTTAATTGGCAGTAACCCTGGTAAAGAGCTATGGTTGGGCTAGCAAGCTTACTTCATAAGAAAAATACACCACTGCTATTGAAACTTTACAGCTCAAGTGTAAAGCCCAATGTTCCATTCGGGACGAAATGGAATGAAAAAAATCAGTGAAAAAGTACATCAACTGAACACACAAAAAAAACTTAGTTACCACACTAGAGTGTAAACGAATGGATAACAATGACACATTGTTCAGCATTCATCATCATTGTCAGTACCGTTTTATTTATTAATTTATACAGCACAGGTTTTAAGAAATGCACCACACGAAATAGGAAAAGATACTGCAAAAAAAAGAGGGTGTTATATGACCTTAGTTGACCTCGATTTTAAGCAGTTATCTTTTACTCCACTTCATATTATGAGTGGATTACCTTTCAGTTGCTTTTAAACAGCCACAGGGCTAGAGAAAAGTGTAGCAGTTTAACTCACTGACTTTAATACATGACTTTTAAGTAGTAGTGGGTCACAGATCCAAAATCCTCCCCGCCACCTAATTCAGTTTGAGCAACTGGATAGTATCACCACCTCTAACATACAACGTGGTGCTTGAAAACTTTATATTGGATAAGTGACTAGATTTCCAAGCCATTGATGTTGTTGTATTAAGGCTGATAATCATCCCACTTCACTTGCTCCATCACTCGCAATCGGCGCAATCAAACTACTAAGGCATTTCATCCGAAACTAAAAAAGTATAGACTACAAATTTTTGATTGGTTTCAAGACTGATCGCGAACTGCCTTTAGTTAGAGAACCACTAGAAACCAGGGAGTACTGAACAACTGTTTCGTTCTTGTTTGGGATTCTTCACCAGTGCTCACCGATGACTCCTCTCCCAGTGTAACAACAGAAGACAAGGACCGGAAACAGATCGTTTTATTACGGAAATCAGTACGTATTTATGTGTATTTTATGTACATTATTAGAGCTTATTCAAGTAGACAAACATGGTCTTCTGATTGGTTGTTTTCGGGTTTCTCGGAAAGTGAGGCCATCTACCTGCGAATCATATTTGCCCACGTTAAGTCTGCTGTGACTTGTTGCTGAATCAGCCTTGTTCATATTTTCTCACGGCCAATATTAGTGACCTGGACATTGACGTAGATTAATGTCTACCAATTGGCTAGCAGCCTGCTCTCACCACACCAGGAATTCATTCACACAGCCTCGTAATTTGATTTTCATGCATTTTTTTCCACCAACCCTCCCCCCTTCCCGTTGTTTATTGTAATTTTCTATATATCCAGTATAGGCGTTGTAGAATTTCGATTGCACGTGTCTGGTGTTTATTCTATGAACAAAGATTCACAGATTAACCTCTCTTTTCCATATGCAGATTAACACACAATAGGTGGGGCAGAGCTACAGTTATAAAAAGTAATATAGATAAGTGGAGGGAGAGGTTGATTACTGAATCTTTGTTCAACGAATCACTATCAAACACGTGCAATCGAAATGATGTAACGCCTATACTGGAAATATAGAAAATTCAAATAAACAAAAAGGGAGAGAGAAGAAATATGTAGAGCAAATTATGAAGTCGTTTGAATACACTGATATGATTACAAGCAATAAATTGTGCACCATACTAAACAAACCTATCTAATGTGAATTAAAAACATTTATTTCCCAATACAAATTTAAAATGGGTAACAAAGTTACATAAAGCAGGATGATTTAATGAATTTATTAAATTTTGATAGAACTCGTCAGCTGAAAGCCGCATCATCCTTGAGAGAATCAAACAAGCCAACCTGGATGGAAAACTTCGGTTGGGACAGACTGGATTCAGAAGAAACAAGTCATGTAATGATCAAACTGCCACACTACGCATCATCATTTAACAAAGCTTGGAATGACAGTCATCTCTCTATCTCAACTTCGTCGACTTTGAAAAGGCCTTCGACAGCGTCGATCGAGAGGTCATCTGGCAACTACTTCGCTACTACGGGGCCCCATCGACATCATCCAACAGTTATACGACAATGCTGCATGCCAAGTAATCTACAACGGGAAACTTACGGAATCCTTCGAAGTGAGGACGGGAGTGAGGCAAGGCTGTCTGCTATCGCCAATGATCTTCCTGATTGCAGTAGATTGGATAATGAGACAGACGACGGGCAATGAGGAAACAGGCATAAAATGGACTCACACAAAAATCTTGGAGGATCTGGACTTCGCCGATGATATATGTCTGATTTCCCACAAACTGGAAGATATGCAAGTGAAAAGCAACAAGTTGGCAGAAGAAGCATCAAAGATAGAACTTCAAGTGAACATAGATAAAACAGAGGTGATGATTCCTGGGCAACAGCAACAACAACAACAACAGACAACAATCAACCAGCATAAATGGAAGGAATCTGAAAGAAGCAGCCTCCTTTACCTACCTACCCACCTGAGAAGCATCGTTTCAACTACAGGCGGAAAATAAGGCAAGCTTTCGTCACTCTCAAATCTGTGTGGAGGTCAACAGAACTCCTCAGAGTGAAAAATAAGATCCGGATTTTCAACTCCAAAGTGAAGTCACTGCTACTCACTATACGGACCGGAGACTTGGTGCGTCATAAAGAGCATCTCAAACAAACTACGGACCTTCATTAGCAGTTGTCTTTGCTCAATACTCAAGATCAGATGGCCGGCCAGAAAAAATCAGCAACAGGGATCCCTGGCAATGAGCGAACCAACCCAGCAGGAACCGATTGCGAAACAAATAGGCAGGAAGAAATGGAGATGGATTGGCCATACGCTGAGGAAACCATCAAGTGACATCACACGCCAAGCCATTGCTCGAGTGAAACCCGAAAGAGAAAGGCGGCGAGTTGGTCGTTAGTGCGAGGGTGACTTGGAGGAGGTGATGTGAAGAGGAGATGAAAGCATGTGGACAGACTTGGAGCTGGGTGAAAAAGTTGGTAGAAAACCGAACGCAATGGAGACGCGCAGCTGAAACCCTATGTTCCCCTAGGAATTAAAGGATATAATAATAATAATAATAATAATAATAATAATAATAATAATAAATCGTCAGCTGAATACTCTAGATACACGGATACATATACACTTTTGAAATTACATTGGGAGACACAAGACAGATATGCAAATGAACTACATTGAATTTGTCATGCAGAAAGACAGGTGCGAATGTTTTCCAGGTCATGTTCAAATAGATAAGGGGAGAGGGGATATGAGAGATTAAAATTAAGATAAAGTGCATTACACTTCAATTACATCACTTAGATAAACAATTAGTCATTAGAAAATATATCAAGAATTGCAAACACAGTAATATCAAGGTCAAGTTTTGATCACAGCTCATACAGTTTTGTTTACTATACTTGTCGATACTTGTTTTATGACTCATGATTGGACAAAAAAACAAGAGATCTTCCTGTTATATATAAACCTCTGTTATGTTAATTTCGATTAATTTCCCACAAGAAGTTCGAACCAGATTGCCGAACTCAGGAAACGTTGGAATTACTCATTTCAATTTCGCTGAGATTTTACAAATATAATTTTTTTCAAAACAAGATTTTGAGCGAACAATTGTTTTCGATAACTTCTTCTTCAGGCTCTACAGTTAGTTATAAATCCATGAATAATAGAGTACATATAGCCAGCCAATAAAGGCAAATGAAAATAATATCAGAGACTGTATTGGGGTGCATGTGTAAGTTGAGATGATAGTCCACTAGTTAACATAGTCAATTTATTGTGTATAGGGTGTTGTTGTTTTATAGTCAACAGAATACAAGTGTCGTCACTGGGGTGAGAGAAATGCGATAACCACAAAATACATACAAACACACATTAACAAAGGGGACACTGAATGTGGGGGCTGACCGATAATGTCTAATGCTAAAATAAAGAGGCTAAATTGTAAATTGTAATAAGATGTTACAGAATTGGTAGGCTTAGTATAAAATCATAAAGGTTGACAAAAATTAAGGGTAACAATGAGGTGAAATAAACTGGGTGGGGAAATGGATAATAAAGACATGATATCACAAAATGGTAATAATGATAATAATAGCACGAAAAATTATGATCCTGGTGACCTTATAGTGGGCCAAGGTAAACAAAGAGAGTGAATAAGTTTTTCCTGTACACATAGGTCTGGTCTCTCTCTATTAATCTCTAAAGCCTCAGCTATGGCTAGGAGGCGTAATTGTGTGCCTTTAGGGAGATTGTTCGGTACTCGATACTCGATACACAACTGTAAATGACTCATCTACTTTGGTGCTGTGTTCGCTCTCCACTAAATGAGACAGAATTGCACTATTTAATGATTTGGTTGCTTTTTTCCCAAGCCAAACAGGAATATGTTCACGAGTGCGTAAAGATAAATTCCTCTTGGTACGACCTATATAACTAGCTCCACAGGAGCAGTTGAATTTATATATACACATTGATGTCGCCATTTTGGGCAATCTATCTTCAATGCACAGTGTCAATGTCGGTTTGGTTGAGAAACGGATATGAATTTTTGCGGCATTAAAAGTTCTTTCAATTGATCTTGTCAATCTGCAGTTTAATATGTCGCTGGCTATATCGCCTTTGAATTGTACATTTAAGTAAAGCTTTTTCTTACTGTGTCTCGCTCGGTTTTATGTGTAGTTTCGTGGATATATTTCTTTACAAAGTTGGTAGGGTAGTTATTTTGTAGCAAGGCGTTCGTAAGATTTATTTCATCTTCAATACAATCCTCGGTACATATACGTCTAATTTTTTTTACAAATTACGCATACACTTACGCAAAAATAAGCATACATGTATTCACCATCTTGCCTTACTTAGAAACTTCTATAAAATCTTGTTCATTTTTAAGAAAATTTTATTCCGTTAGCTCACACACCCTAATACACAAGATTCCAAACCCATTTCTGCACCAGTTTTGTGCCACTTAAGCCTGTATTAGGGTGCAACCTTTGTATTACTACTGTTTTTTTTACTTGAATATGATTACATAACTCATTCACACAAGTGGAAAATACATAAGAGCTGTTTTCACAGCAATCATTCATGTGAAAAAATCAATAAAACTAATCAGCAATTTATTTTATTTATTTTTTTATTACAGCTTGATTCCACACCGTATTTTTTGGTACAAGTATGGAATTTACAGCATGTGATATCGGTAGCCCAAATTTTACAGACCGACCATAAATATCAGGTGTGGGTCGGCAGGGCGTCGAACCTCGGACAGTGTGCATAGTCGACGACAGTCCTAACCATTGTGCCACCAACGCACAGACTCTCGTCGACCATGCACATGGTCCAAGGTTCAACCACCTGCCGACTCACACCTGATATCTATGGTCGGCCTGTAAAATTTGGGCTACCGATATCACATGCTGAAAATTTCATACGTGTACCAAAAAATACGGTGTGGAATCAAGCTGTAATGAAAAATAAATAAATAAATGACTACTGTGCCACCGACGCACAATTGTCGTATAAATACGACTGTCGTCGGAAACGATATGGCACTCCATTGGATAATCTAAATCTCACCTGTGGTAAATCCACAAAAGCAAGAGACAGTATTCAACAAACAAAATCTTTGACGAACAACATCTAGACGGGACTAAAACAGCAAAACTTGTATTACACAACTTAAGAAGAAAACACGACCAAAAACGTGATGGAACATACCTGCAAGCTTTAACGTTGGATTATTAAATGATGTGAGTAAAATATTGTGTGGTTTTAGATCCATGTGAATTATATTCTTGCTTTTTAGATACTGGAGAGCTAAGGCTAACAAATGTCAAGAATTAAGGTTTAACAGATTTAACTATACTCACTGACTTACCTAATTGTTGTAAAAAGTGTTGTACAAGTAACTCGTCTAGCTTTCGTTTCTGCTTTAAAAATCTGCCAAGATCACCTCCACCACAAAATTCCATAATTATGTACACATAAGATGCATCCCACTACAAAATGATGATGACTAATCAATCAACAAACAGATTCTTACTGTGAAATCAAGCATACAAACAATATGCGGATGTTCAAGAGTCTTCAAAATTGAAATTTCACTGACTAGATTATCTTGAGCTTGTTTGCCTAGTCTACTTTTCATCATACACTTTATGGCGACTAGTTTACATGATCCCTTGATGAAATGATGAACAGAAAGAGATGATTATACAAGAAGAAGGAAAAAAGCCTCGCTTACAAACTTCTTTCCCATATACACAAGTCCATATGTCCCTCGTCCGAGTAAATGAGAGACAGTAAAACCAGGTACTTTGATCATTTAAATAAATGACAAAAAAATCTTGACTTCGTTGTTAAAATTGGTGACTTTACAAGGCTGAACAGGAAAACAAAAACATACAAAAGTTTCAGCTAAATAAGAATGAAACGGATAAGCACTTTTTAATACCATAATACTAAAATTTACCATAAACAAATAAAGTCTGGGCCTTTCATCTTTAGAAATCGATACGGAAAATAAGTTTACTTCGATTGATACAAAAATATAATACGTGTGAGACAACTGCGTAGATCAATGAAAATGAGCAAGAGTACTATCCAAATTTCATCAAGTATCACTGAATACCGACTACAGATGGTAGTGAAAAAAAACTGCTGCAGGTGACAAAAATGCAGACAGACTTTTCTAATGTGTCAACTGACAATCTAAAATCAGTGGAGTAGTAGATTTATGGCATTTTGCTGAATGAGGAAGGGAAACTAAAACAGACAGAACCCTGGAGAGCTATAGTCGAATTCATGAAGTCTATAGAGAGCGCTTCACTCTTCAACAGATTCTAGAATATAGGCATACTTACCGTCGGTGTCCAACAATCGTCATATTTCTTGACCTAAAGGCGGAATTCGATTCTGTCGACCGAGAGGTACTATGGCGATGCTAGGCTGTAAAGGGAATGCCGAGAAAATACATTGCACTGATCAAGGCGCTCTACTCGAACTCATGAGAGTGGTCATTTGAAGTGGTGACAACCAGTGGGGTCCGTCATGGATGCCCACTGTCCCCGTTTCTATCCAATTTCATTATAGATGTAACAACGGAATGAACCCTAACTGACTTCAGAGACTCAAGGATTGACTTGTTACCATCAGGGAATAATCTCGTTGACTTAGAATATGCAGATGGTATAGGCCTTCTAGGTGAAGACGTTGACAAGGTGCAGTCTTCTGAACACCTTGAGCTGCAATCTGCGAATGTTTGACATGAGATTCGCTCCCGCCAAGTGTACGATGATGCTACAGGACTTAGAGTGGTAAAGCGTGTTGACCACTGCATCAGCCAACCTCAACGGGTTGATCGCCGACGAAATGTCAGCACGGATACAGAAGCCTAGTTTCGCATTTGCCAGTCTATGCCGTCTCTGGCGCAGACGTGATATTTAACTGGCTATCGACCAAAGGGCGTATGTACTACTCAGCAGTTCTCTCCATCCTCCCCTATGGCTAGCTGTGAGACCTGGTCATTGAGAGTGGAAGACAGGAAAAGGCTGGTTAGCTGTCTTTGATCATAGTTGCCTGCGTTCTATCTCCTGTGCCGAGTGGTGTAACAGTGAGCAATATTGAGGTCAAGCGTCGAGTCCTAAGTAAGGAGGGGAAATCAATAGACGAGGCCGTGAAGCTACACCGATTGAGATGGTTAGGACATGTGTTACGCATACATCCCCAGTCATCTCCTTCTTCGATGGTTGGTGCTATCTGACATAGGATGGATCAGGTTGGAAAACACCCAGTGGTGGTCAAACCAAAACATGGACTCATCAGTCGATGAAACCCACAACAGTTAGTTTAAGCCAGTCACGTAGGGAGGTGTATACCGACTCCTGATTGGGGTTCTCAAGACAGTAAAAACCAATGAAGGCCGAAGACAACTGGTGATATGGCTCAAGATCAGTCTCAATGACGCAGCGGATGCAGCCAATCCTTGTGATTTATGAGATTCAATAAAACTATCTGATTCTTCTATATTACTATTCTTTTTGCCCCGTATCTCTGTTTATTATCTCTCTTTTTGAACCTATTTTTATTTTCTTCTTTTGATTTGTGTGCTCAGTGAAGTTTGGCAACTCGAACTGCTGCACATCGGTGCAAAGTTTTACGCTGAAACCAGTCAGATAGAGGGTGCTAGAAAAACTTTTTGAATCTAGGAGGTTGTCCCCATTAAGTACTTTACTAGCTGAGTTACAGAGAATTAGGATACTGCCAATTGACTAGTGAAGACCGCTATATATTTCATTTCACAACAGGATATGTCGTTACCATAACACATACCACCATTAATAAAGTGTAAAAAATCTCAGAGTTAGAAAAAAGTTGTAGTTTAAGCGGAGCATGTGAACAATGAACTTAAAAGCAAAACATAGACTCCATAACAGAACAAGGGTGTATTGGTCATATATTCCCTAGTCCACAAATACTGACATCCCATATTATGGGATACAAAAAACTCATCATGGTTGGTTCATTGAGATGATATTGTCATGAAAGGACTGTCTATAATTTATTTTGTACTGTAGCATTCAGCTTGAAGTCTCTTCCACCTAACTGACCTAGGCAGAATCGTTTTAACTCCTGATAAACGGTGCAGATGACGAATTCAAAATCAAACGTATGGACAAATTCTTGGTTCTAGACAAAAGAGGCCACAAGGACTCTGTTAGAATCGGTCGTCTGATACCAGCCTACTTAGAAGGCAAAACCATGAGCCCTGAACCAGTTGTTCCGAATAATACACAGCTGACTGAGTGTCCGCTAGTCCTCGAGGAAGCAACCAGCTCCGCGAAGGCAACCGGGGCCTCTAACGGGACCCAAGGGAATACACATTCAAGACTGGCCATGCTTACCTTACAGGATAAGATGACGGTGCCCCACTTTCCAAGAAAGGTAGTTTAATCTGTTTATGGTACTCTCTTTCAGGCATATAGATTATTTTTCGCTGAATCGCGCATCATAAATTAAGTGTATTTTTTCAATGACTACATGTCTGTCTGTCTGTTTTCGATATAGAACTTTGCACAAATGTGCGGAAGTTCAAGTCGCCACATTCCGTGTAGCACGCGAAGCAAGAGAAGAAAGTACAAGAAAAGCATAATAGAAACAGTGAGCAGAGGTGTGAGACAGAGGAGTGATAAAGAAATAGAAAACAGTTTCATTGAAGATCATAAGTCACAGGGAGTGGATGCATCTGCGCCACTGAGAACGATTTTGAGCCATGTCACCAATTGTTTCCAACCATAGATTTTTACCGTCCCGAGGACCCCAGCCTGGAAGTCTACACCTTTCTACGTGTCTTAGACCAACTGTTGTGGATTTCATTGACTGATGCCAAGTTTTTGTTTGACCGCCGCTAGCTTTTTTCCAGCCTGACCCTATATCCGCTAACATTGCTCGTCGAGGGAGGCGATGGCTTGGCATACGTAACACATGTCCTAACCATCTCAGTCTTTGTAACTCCACGACTTCGTCGATTGATTTCCCCTGTTTACCTAGAACTCTACGCCTAACCTCCATGTTGCTCACCTTATTATGCCACTTTACACGGGAAATAGAACGCAGGCACCTATGATCAAAGACAGCTAGTCTTTTCATGTCTTCCACTCTCAGTGGCCAGGTCTCACAACCATAAAGGAGGACGGAGCGGACTGATGAGCAGTACACCCGCCCTTTGGTCGATAGTCGAACATCTCGTCTACATGTAACATCAACTACTTAAAAAATTTTCGGCGTTTCTCATCTTCGATTTTTTCACATAGTTTATGTATGACCTGATCCAACTGCTATTTTTGGTAGGTTTCTTCGAAAAGGTCTTCAGCATTGTTTCCTTTTGCAGGTACGATGGAAGCAAACGAAGCACAAGATCCAATGGACGGACATCAGAGTAGCGATGTACATATACCACATTAGCATGGGCAGACGACCAGTAGGAAACTCACTGCCAACACAACCATCGAAACAGTTTCACCAATGGTGCTACCACTAAAGTTTTACTTCCGGCTGATTTCGTCCTAGCGACGCCACTAGGAGGGGGTTAGCTGTAGCGGCAAATAATCCCCCCCCCAAAAAAAGTTATTATCCTACAGTGTTTATCACTCAGCACTGGATGTCGCCCTTCATTGTTTAAGTCAACTCGTTAAGCTGGAGGTTCGACGTCAGGCATTCACGCCATTTAGCACCGTCGTGTTACGTTCGCTCATTCGTACATGATCATCGCATTAGGATTCTGATTCCGAAATATATCTTGAATTTTGGACTATCAGTCTGGTGTTTTGATTTGTGTTCTGTCTAAGCAGAACAAATAATCACTACGGACCTGACCTATTCTCTCTTTTCCTTCCCATCAGGTCGGAATACCTTAGAGGATATAGCAGGAGAGTTCAAAAGCCAGGAAGAAATCATATTGATGTGGAGTAATGGTTCTCACACCGAGTCATAAACTCTTGGGACCGACTCCCAGAAGAAGTGGTGTCTGGACAGGCGCAGAAATTTACTAGAAAAGGATCAGCATAGGCTCCAAGCCTTCTATCCTCAACCAATAAATCTGAATCTGAATAAGAACCTGCGTTGTATACATCGCACTTTGCGTGAACACAAACACCCGCTTTATCTCCTGAAACGGAAATTCGCAGCCATAGGACGGATTTCGAAACTTAGATAACACCACAAAAATCATGAGAGATGTTTCCCATTAGGAAAAACAGTAAAACTAGCGTGACATCAAAAATAGGATGTAGTCAAATAAAGTCCATGTACAAAAAAATAATAATTTAAACTTTGACACCAAAATTCCATGCTAAAGTCGATTGCTAAAGCTGAGAGTACGCCGTCAAACACGCTACTTGCGCCTCGGTGTGTCAGGCTCACTTTTTCGGGTACGACGTCGAGTTGGTAAGACATCGATAACAGCTCAACAGTGACGATCCACAAATATGTTTCGTATTTCAGACGATCAAATTGTTCTTATATAGAACCCTAACTGATTCCCTGTCCACATCAAGTACATTAATGAGCTACATAATACTATACAAGTATTATCGTATCATTGTAGTCCTTTTACGCAACAACACTTCATCAATCCAAAGTAGTGAATAAGATGCTTTAGCACCAGGAACACTAAAGATCGGCACTTACTACTTCATCTTCGAAATATAAAAGCATATTTATATGGCGCAATCACTGTCACTTAGACTGGCCTGCTCAAAGTATGCACTCATAACTGCGATCTACAAGAAGACATTCCGAAGATACGGATTGCCATCAAATTCGGACTGTTTAAATTCTCACGCAAAAATTCAGTAATTCACAGAAAGTCTGATCCAGAAAATCCCTAAAATACGCCAGTAAATATACACATTTGGAGTCTTTCATGCTTAATTATACTGATAAGTCAACAACTTATATGTAGCCTTGTGAAAAACCCATTCCTACTACGGCCGAATGAGTATAGAGAGACCACACACCTAAAACAGTTCTTGAAATATTCTACCGGTATTCTGGAAACATTCATTAAATGAATGCAAAAAGGGACACTTACACACAGTGAGAGCACTGCCAGTCATGAACAACACATTTTGATAGAACCCTTACAATTCTTCACGTAAAGCTTGTCTCCGCATTATCAGTGGAAATACGAAGATTCCAAACCCAATTGATATGGTATTGGGAAATAAACCTTATAATCAATTACACTACTTAGTTATTGCAGATTCTGAGTGCCTAAATAAAAAATTCGAGGTGGTAAAATTTCCGATGACAGTTGTGGAAAAATGGTATTCCCGAAATTTCGCGAAAGCTCATGACACTTAAGAAAAGAGTAATGTGTGTAATTCCGTGTCAGAAAAAGCGAATACTCCGCTCTCTATTCCCGTAATATGCTTGTCTTTTATTATATTTAAAAAGCACTATATGAACATGTAACATTATAGTGTAGTTATAATAATTATCGGAAAAAGGTGCTTAAATTTCACCTTGAAAGCAACCACCTTCTTAATTTCAATGCCCCCACATAACACAGCTTAAGTAATCACTCTTCAAATATTCTTACCGAGGTGATCAGCTAAAGATCCTCATTTTAATTGACAGTCTTTGTGATAGCGGCTTTGTCGAAAGTGGCGCTCATCAAATGTTCAATCGCTTTTTTGTCAAGCCTGTGAGATCCTTTTGATTTCTTGGCGTGCGCTCTACAACGGTTCTAGATCATCAGTGGATCACAGTTTAGAGGATGCACCCCGTCGAGCTCTGCTGAACATTATGAAAGGTATCACATTGAATAATTTGTCATGCTGGTAATGTTTGGTCTGAACTAGGACAGGACACTACTAGCGTCGATCAATTCCATTCCACTATACAGTCCTCATGATAACCCCAATACATTACGTACCATATTAGCTGGTGTGAGTTCCTCTACCAGCAGAGTTAAATCCAAAAGATAAAGTGTGAAGGGACTGATGCCAAATGCTTTGCTGGCTAGTGGATTTTGGCCGTTTCATATGCCTTTCTCATACATTATTCGCTCAGTTAGCTGTATCATACGATATCTTGCCTAAGACTTATGTACTTTGGGTTCACATGGCTCCCCTCTTGAGCTTACTGTGCACCATCCACTGCACCAAAATCAACCTAAGACTTAAGTAATGTGGATTAAGTTAACATTAACCAAACAAACGGCAAGTGCATCTGCAAAAGTTAGTGCGCATGTCAGTTAAGTTCGCTGAGGGATCTACAGAGTGAAGGTGCAATTTCCGGAAATACTTCTCTCATTTTCCCACAAGCATCTATGAGTAGAAGAAAGGAAACTGTTAATATAGTTGAAGATTAAACGATCAATTCATGGTTGTTTGCTCAAACCCAACTCCATATTTTTCGCGGCAGTCATCGTCTCATCGTTCTGTAAGGCATGGTAGGTTCGGCGGTTTTTCTAATGTTCAAACTATGCTTGTCTACTTTCAGGTTGGCTGCGAAGTATGCAGGGATTGGTTACCCAAGACGAGGCAACGGATGACCAATAGGAGTGCCCTTCCCTCTTATCTAATTGTATTGCGATTGGTTGTAAATATAATACTTGACCTTGAGTCTTCGTTCTTACTAGCACGCGACACTTGTGTGATCACACTATTAACGTGCGCTTTGCTCTCTGTTTCAGATCATTGCTTGACCAGTGGGATTACATAAATGGCGAGCCTGCCAACGATAAAACTTTCTTCTTCTAAGTCTCGACCCAATGAGGCTTCCAAGAACAGTTCTCCTGTCAAACATATAGCATCCAACGAGGTTGATCAATTACATGAAGTGAGGGCTCCAGCTTGTCAGTCAAATCAGCCTGCTTCGCGTCATGTCCATCCCTTGCCGCATACACTGGAGGTGGGTGATGATTTCGAGCTGTGTTCGGACAAGGTGTGCCGATACATTGATCTGATGAACGTGCCTCACCCTGACGCATTCGTCATCGATTCTGTTGGACGGCCCTTGGAAATATACACAATTGGTTTGGATTACGTGCATATGCCCTTGACCACCCTGTTGAGTACTCTAAGAGCACGTATAGTGCAACCAGTACCGCTGAAAAGATTCAGCGAGTGCAACCAGAGACAAGTTGAATCTATCAACCAGTTCACCTTACGTCTCCGCAAGCTTGCGCGTCAAGCTATGCAGGACAAGACATATTCAGAGGTCGAAAACGCTATATATTCCAAGTTTCTGCAGGGTGTCGACGTCCGTTACAGGAGGGACTTCAACTTGCACACTCCAGCATCCATGGCAGAAGCGGAAGCTAGGGCACGCCTAGTGGAAAGCCTGGAAGAGCCACGAACCACATGCCCACAAGTAAACGCAATGGGATATCAGCACACAACAACAAAGCATGGACAGAATCCCACACCACCGTGGAAAAAACGCCCACAGTCGCAATCCACTTCAAGAAACGATTGCTACTACTGCAGGCGGTTTGGTAAGCTTGCTAGGAGTTGTGGTAACAATGCAGGGGAGTCACATGTCGATATGAATTGTGTGCCTACTGTAAACCTAATCGGTGTCACCTCCTCCACGAAAGTTGTAGGTTATATAGGTGGAAAAAAGTGTGTTATGTTAGTTGACTCAGGAGCAACTTGTTCTGTCATACATTCCTCATGTGTTCCAGAGACATTTAGGCCAACAATAGGGACTCACAAGTTGCGGCTTACGACAGCCAATGAAGATTGCATGCAATCCCAGGGAGTTGTCCTGCTGCCACTTAAACTGGGAACATTGTCACTTCAACACAATTTCATCATCTCTACCCGGGTGCTATGGCAGGTAATCTTGGGAGTCGACCTCTTGGAAAAGCTGTCCGGAATAATAGATTGTAGTCAGAGGACTCCTATACTGAAGGACTGTTCCATCCCATTTATTATAGGGAACGACAAAGAGCACGGCACTTTTGGAGTGCAGGAAGATGCTAAGACTGAGAAACAGCGAATGCTGACGACTGTAGAACGCCTACCACCGGAAACGGCTGCCAACTTTAATAAAATGCTAGACAAATATGAGGACTGTTTTGACTGGGATGGAAAACGCCCGGAAAGAACAAAACTGGTCCAACATCACATAGAAACGGGTAAAGCCCCACCTTGTAGACAACCTGCACGGCGAGTACCTGCACATTACCAGAAAGAGCTTAACAGGTAAGCTGATAATAATAATTATTATTTTATTTTCATATAAACATAAATTTACATGAAAATGCATGCCATTTTTACAGGCACGATCAAGTATGTTATAATGTCAAATCTTAAATTGTCTACAAGTTAATAATGTTTCAACAGTTAAATATTTGATATATATATATATAAATACACTCATTGTCTGAACTAGGCCGTATAGTTATTGAATTGTACAGTTGTCCTCCAGGTTGAGCGGGAAAATCGACTTCGTTTCGTTTTCATCCCGTGGTTGTAGGCATACGATAACCAACCAATATTGAGGTAAGTACAACGTTTACAAGGGATTGGAAGCTGTTTTAGAAAAGTTAAAGTGCTGAGGTGAAACATTAAAGTGTAATAGATTAAGTGAGTGAAATATATCATTAATAAACACATTTATATAGAAAACAGAATGGGGAAGTAATTAATCCTTAGGCCGACAACGTTCATTTGCAATGTATAATGAAACCAATATATTTTATACTATCATGATGTCCACTTTTGGCTTTAATACAATTATTTTCAAGCCAGTTGTCTTTTTTCATGTTTTTTTTTCTATTTGGTGCACAACCGTACCCTCCAGAGAATAGGAATAGAATAAGTCGAATCAAATTCATAAAGAGCTATAAAATGTTAGGTTTAATGGAATATAATGAGGATCAAGTAAAGACGTTATTAGAAAATAAGTGAGACAAGATATTGTGAAGTGGTATTTAAAGATCTGACAATGGATAGCAAGTTAATTTATAAGATGCCCCATAAATCTGTGCAGATCCCACGTGGTCGCATCTCAACAATAGGCTGAGCGAATGGTATATATTTAAAGGTAGAAGCATTATCTGTCAAGGCGTTCACTATTATCTTTTTCAAGATAAAGATCTAAGCCCTCATAAAAATCAGAAATATCTCGAGCCTTTAATTTGTGTATTGCTGTTCCTGCAGAATGGGGCGATTCACCTTAGTGACCACCACCATATCTACTGATCAGCTAGCGCCACCCTCCCTCCTTTTTTGATGTTAGGCTCTGAGACTATGATTATTATGGCTACCGCAAATATATTGCTTGGTACCAGACATGTTCGTACCCCATATTCCATCTCCCTAGCTTTCTTAATGAGTGCTTCCAATAGGTCTCCACGTACATCTTTACGAACATATTATATATGTGTGCATGCATCCTGATGAACAGATTACTTTATAAGAAGTTAAAACCTTAAAGAGTAAAACGAATAGGTATTGTGAATAGTGGAGCAAGATTTAGCAGAATACTATAGTTAAGGTTCAATTTAGGTAGTATGGACTGAAGGTAAGGTCGGTTGGCAGGACTTAGTGTACTTATATATAGTAAACATCTGACATTGCAAAGTAACGTGTCTAGACATATTATAAAAAGATATTAACACAGAACCAACGAAATTTTGGCGTTTTTTTAACAATACTGCAGTGTGTGTATACTGAAGAATGGTGGTTAGTCTACAGGGAGCCGTAGAGTAAATCAAACCATATATGATAAGAGTATAATCAATAATATAGTTCGTATATCAAATATTACACTAGGTTCAATAATTGAGTGTTATAAGGGAAACAAGCGTGGTAAAGCAAGAGAACATTTGATGCATAAATATTTTAAGTATTTTAATATCCATCTAATTTAAGAATTGAACATGCATGATTAATAAGTATTATTATATTAGTATATACATATGTAAAACGTTAAAAGGTGTGGATGCTATTACAATTATTTCCAGTGTTACTTTTACCAACACAACTTAGTGAAAATTATAGAGAATAGAAATCAGTAAATTAGTTAACGTTCGCTGCGTGAGTATTAGAGTCGAGATATACGTATGTGACTATACTGAAGACTGGACTGGCCTTCAATTTCCGTTCTACCAACAGTTGTGGTCTTTTAGACGAGCTAGGGTGGACATGTTAAAGTGTCTTTCTAGGCTCCGTTTGAACCCATCAGGGTTTTCACAACATCTTATTTCAGGTGGTAGTTGGTTCCAAAGAGTGCAATATTTTATGGTGAAAAAGTTTGCCCTAATGGATTTTCTGTGGGTAGCCACCTTGACAAGGTAGTCGTGGTTTCGCAGCTGATATGATTTAATATTTTCCCAAGTTATGGATGAGTTACTGTAGCAGTGTTTCCTAATGACTTTGAAGAGTAGAAATAGGTTGCACTTCACTCTCCTTAACCACAGAGGCTCTAATTTCAGACGTACACACCTGTCAACATATTCCACTTGTTGGTCGAACCCTATTATGCGTTTCGTGAGGAATCTCTGGACACTTTCGATTTTTTTCTGTCTACAGTCCTGAGGTTACTAAATAGGAGAGCACAATATTCAAGTTTGGGACGGATACATGTCCTATATATAGCTAATCTTGCTTCTTGGGTGTAGAAGTTACGCAGTACAAAGCCAGTAAGTCGTTTACAGTCAGATACAACCTTATTTGCATGATCGGAAAAGGATAAATCTGAGTATGTTATCCCGAGATCTGTGACTGTGTTCAGTTTTGAGAGGAGCTTACCGTACATATGTAGGCACATTATCGGTTTCCAGCGTCCAAGGTGGGTTATACCGCACTTGTCTGGGTTGAAAGTCAGTTGCCAC